TTCTCGTCGACAATGTGGTCACCCAGGACCTTGTCGTAGAGGGTTCGTGGTGCGCTCTCAACTCCAGGCATTGTGACTGTGATGAGGAGGTACAAAGGGGAAGAGGAGAAAAGAGAACGAAGATCTTCAAGAAGAGTAAAATGGGAGATGGAATGGGACGCGAAGGACGGGGAACAAGGCCTTGGCAAAGGAAAAGGGCCAGGCAGTAGGCTTAATATGGTGTTAGACGGAGTCTCGGAGGTTGTACGAAGGAATCCGTCGTCAGAATGAATGACGGAGAAACGAGCAGAAAAAAGCCGAGAATATGAATGGAAGAAAAAGGGAAGCCGGACTTGGGACAGGAAAAAGGGGAAGCTAAAATAGCAAAGGTAGAGGGCAGGTGGGTGGGCGGCGGCCGTAAGCTGATATCAAGTTCCGGGCAAGGAAGGTGAGATGATGCACCCCTCGCAAGTTCCGGGTTGTTCTTTCCCACAGTTGCAAATCTTGAGAATTCTTCAGATGAAATTCGGCTCCTTCTGCAAATGCAAAAGACGACAAGGAAGGAGCGATCTACTATTTAACATGTCTACAGAGGAAAGAGCGAGGCCGACACCAAGCTCAACGTGTCAGGAGCAACCGGAGAGGGCAGGCGCGAACGACACAATTCGCCTCCCGGATGCGCTGCTGCGGCGCGCCTAACCCCAACTCACAATGACCAGTCCAAGCCAATCCAGCCCAAATTCACAAAGAAATCAGTCAAACAAGACCCCCGTAGGTCTTTGAGTCGACACTAAACTCGACTGTTCACTATTTTTTATCGCACCAGAGAGCTCGACGCCGATGATCGGAGGGCCTTCATTGCTGGTCCGGAAGACGGATGATGTGGGTTTTAGCTCCTCGTCACCAATTTTTGCTGCTGAAAGAAGGAGCGCCTCACACAACAAAAATAGCTAAAAAAACGCGGGGTTGATGGATTGAGAATCGGTCAACGCAGATTGGTTGAATCGTCTCTGATTTACTGGGTCCTTTCTGTCCGATTGGAGACTTTTTGGGCTGGTTCGTATGCAAGTGCAAAAACAGCTTAGAAGGACGTGCTCATATCTCACAGCATACACCATACTGGCCTTTCAAGGCAGAGAGGGCAAAGCAGGTTGGTGGTGGGGCCCGGCATGCGGCACTTGCAGTAGCCAGATGCACCTTCCGTTTTCTTACGTCGCTCGGTCTGGTCTCTGGACTGTGAGTGGCAGCTGGTCTTGATGGGAGCACCTTTTGCACCACTCGTTCCTTCCGTATCCGAGCTTACATGTCGCGCCATACAGGGGGGCGTAGGAGGACCTCGACAGAAACGAGGAGAAATAAAGGGAAAATGAAGGGGTCATTGGAATTTACAAGTTTGGAGGGAGAGCATCGTGGACGCGGGTTGTGGCAGTTTGCGTTCACCGGCGCGGCCTCGAGTGACGTAATTTTTGGGTTGTCGAGGGCGCAACGAAAATGTGCAAAACGCACGTGACTCTCTCCAAAAGCACGCTGGCGGACATCCTAAGCATGATCCCAAGATACGGACGGAAGCCAAAGTAAAAATAACACGGAAGACGAAAAGGACGAAAGAGGCTCAGAAAGCGGAGACATCCCCACGACACAATGTCCTGCTTTGGATGTTGGCATCCCGTGGTTCTGACTGTATGATTCAGGGCCCGCTCAGGCACCGCCTGGTAGCGTGTAACGGCGCCGAGTCGCTCCTGCCGCCAGACGACATACATCAAGCAACGTACAACGTACCTGCTGCCTACTCCCGGATTTCCGTCGGCTTGCCGAAACTTGGCGATCGCAGGGTACAGTCCATCACCGCCTTTTGCTGTCCAGTGCACTCTTGACATATGCCCTTCAGCCTGTTGAACATTCAGCCATTGCCTGCCCTCCATTGTGACCCCAGCACTGCAGATCAATCCTCCTTGTCCAGTACGCCCTATTCTGAGATGCTCACATTTCCCCAACGCTTGCTGATTCTTTCTCTCTGGCAATTCCATCCTTTGTCTTCGTCTTCGTGTTCGTTCATGTTACCCCCAACTTCATTGTCTCAGCCTCTTGTGGGCGGTATCGGCCTTGATGTTGCCCCATAGCCTCCACCTCCAAAACCCCACTCTGGGTCTGGCCTTTTACGCGTGCGCATCTCTTGCGTCCCGCGCCCTTTCGGACCGCCGGTAGCTACGACAAACGGACTGTTACGACATACACACATGGTGCTGGAAATCCCCCATGTCTACAGCACTGCTCCTGCGTCCCGTCTTTCGTACATTCCGTATGATAAACCGCGAATGTGTCATTGGTTGCGACCCGGGGCCGTGAAGGGCGATCGTCCCATTGGGGGAGGAGGGCTGGAGGGGCCACAGACCAGCAAATGGGCGACGAGCTGTTTCGACCCCAACGAGCCCATGCCACCCTTTCCAGCTGCGATCTCGGAGCAAGCTGCATGGCAGTGATGCTTTGCAGCGGACATGGCCTGTTGCACGCCCCGGAGTACACGGAGCCTGTCGTTTGCAACGACGGTACGACGATTTGCGCAGATCGACAGCATGGAGATGGGAGACAACTCGAAAGGGAAATGTACATATGGACAACCAGGAAGGTCAATGCTCTCTTGTTTTGCAATGTGGAACCAAATTGTTGGCTGAAATACCAAATGCACAGTCTGATCTAGTCACTTGGCGATTTGACTGTTTTCTTTCAAGGCCGTTGTCCCAAAGGAAGGCACTGCGCAACGGCTCGTATTCTCGTGCGCTTTCTTTTGTTTTCATTGTGATTGACAGCGTCACGCTTGGGTGGCAGCTCCGCTCCGGTCTACGGAGGCCCGAATTCAGAAGCTTGTCCCTGCCGAGGAGCGATGACGACGGAGAGCTTTGCACTGGATCCGGTTGGTGACAGCCTTGCGATGCTCTTCAGATATTGCACGTCCAAGCTGGGAATTTAATTTTGTGCTCTTCTTCCTGTAGTGATGCTCTTGTAAAAATACTCTGTCTAGAATCACACGTGCTTGCTCATCCTCTTTGTTTACATGCCCAGCAGAAAACTCATCATGCCCGATGTATAATGACAACAAATGCCCACGACCACAAGCACGCGGAACACGACAACACTGACCATCACCAGCGTCAACACAAACCCAGCAGCCTGGACGCAAAGAAACGCATCAGTGAACGTCAAACAGCCCCTCCGAAGCCGCCCGCGCAGGGCTGAGCGGCGATGGAAGACGGGGCGGACATGCGTCCAGTACTGCAGCAACAACCGAAACATCATCACCCCTGCCTTCTGGATGAGCTCCAGAGGCACGTTGGCGTCATCACACTGGTGATTGTTCGTCTGCTGCTTCCTCTTTTTGGTCGTCATTGGGACAGTAGGACCTCCGGTACCGGCGGCTCTTTTGTTTTGTTTGGGCTGCTTGCCAACTCCATTCTGTTGCTGTTTTTGCTTCCCAAGCTGCGTTGGACTCTTGATATCCATACCTGCTACTGTGTTTTGCTGTATCCTGTTCCGTGGCAGCCGACCAGTCCGCGCCACTGCCATGTATGCAGCACCCTGTGCCATCTCCTGCGTGGGCAGAGTAATAGGAATCGCCAGCTTCTGATGCTGCATCTTTGCAACCAGAGGCGGCGGTGGAATGGAAGGAGGTGGCATAATCTTCCGCAGAAAGCTAAAGGTCTCTGGTAGGTGTTCCTTGTTGATGCCGTTCGAACGGCGCTGCATGCAATTCACATTAGCCGCAGACGTACATGGTGCATCTCGCTTGTGCTGAGTGGACGGCGACAGCTTCTCAACGCGCATTTTCATCGACACCGCCAGGCGCCGGGACGACGTAGTAACGTTCGTGGCTGTCTCGAGAGGGAGGTCGCTTGCGCTCGACGAGCCGCTCGGTTCCGCATTCTGGTGGGAAGACGCTGAAGAGGGTCTCATGCTGCGGTTCTGCAGCCTGAATTCCGTGCGTGGTGCCATGGACACCGTTGGTGTTGAGCGTTCCGGCGCTCTCGTGGGACGACAATGTGACTCTGTGATGGCTCCGTCTAAGCTTAGATCTTTGCTCAGATCCTTGCTCAGATCCTTGCTCAGAGCCTTGCCCATGTCCACGCTGGCGCCGGCTAGGGGCAGACTCGTAACGGATCCAGTAATGGTGATGGTGGGTATGGAGACAGACTCTGGTTTGTTGGCCTTGCCCGGGATTGCCGCTGGGGCCGACTCCGACTCCGCCCACATCTGCGTTGGGGGTCCTGGCGTGCTCTGAGACTCTGTCACCGTTGTGGCATTGGCCAGTGGTGCTGTTGTCTCCAATGTCGGTGTTCTTGCGACGACTGAGCTCGTTGCCTTGCGCGTGCTGAACGTGTTCACGAGCGCCCGTCTCGTCGGTCGGCTGGTTGGGTAGCCGTCCATACTGAGATGAGCCAACCGATTGGACCCTCGACGGCCGATAGTCGGCATGGTCCTTCGTAGTCGCCGCTGACGGTAGCACCGCCGCTGCATGTGCTCGATGTGATGATGAGGCTGTAAATCGCCAAAAGTCAACATCGGGTTGGCACCACGTACGCGTAGAGGTGTAGTTGGGCATGGAGCAAGATTCAACGTTCCATTGGCCGTTCCAGGATAGACCGCCATACCTTGCAAACTATCGCCACTCTCACTCTCGTGTTCATCGACGAGCCGCGTACCTGCAAGGCCCCAGTCCATGTCGCCGCGAGGATCTGGCTGGTTGAGGCTTGGAAGAGGCAAGAATGGTTCTGGCATTGGCATGGGCATTGGCTCTGGTTTAGGTCCTGGTTCGCAGAGGCCGACTCGGTCAACGCCTGGTGCAGAAACTGGCATCCGCTTCGGCGGCACAGGAGGAAGTATGCCGGCAGTTTCTGAAGAGGATGCTGTTTCCCATCCAGGGCTGGAAAGTCGCATGGCGCTCCAATGAGCTGTCGATGGATGGATGGCTACGTCTTTGGTGTCTTTGGATTGGGCTGTGTAAAAGCACCAGTTATTAGAAAAGCCTCATGTCCATCCTAGGGCACAATAAACCTACATGGCGTCGAGCTTCTCGATTGGGCAATGGGGCTCAGCGTCGGCTCCGCGACCGACGACCACTGCCCTGTATCCTTGCGCCACCGGACAAGGCTCTGCTGCCGCCGGAGCTCGTCCTTTTCCTTCTCGTACTTTTCAATGCTCGACTGGGCCACGCTCGCCGGCACACCGGACGCACCGCTGGAGATTGTGCTTTTCGAGCCGGTGGTCGGCGTCAAGACGTCGAGCTGGCCTGTGTCGGGGTTGATGCCTTGGACGCCGAGAAAGTCGCCGCTGGCTTTGAGGTCCTTGCGCCGGCGATGGACCTCTCTCTTTTGCCGAAAGGGCTTGTCGTCTTCGGGGGAGAGGCGTTGGTCCCAATGGTCGCCACGACAAGCATCACGGGACACAAAAGGTGCAATCGTGGACTGTGACTCGGTCGTGCTCGGCCACGCACCGGGTGCTTTGGATGGAAGAGGCAGCGGCGGAGGCGACCTGTAGTGCGGTATACCGCCGGACGGAGAGATGACTGACGGTTGGCCGATCGATTTCTGGTACGGATCCGTCAAAGAGTCTTGTCGCCGGAGCCGGCCGCCAGAAAGCTTTGGGCCAGTCCGGCTAGAAACGTCGCTCGAAACATCCCATGGACCCAACCCCCGTTCGCCGTACGTGAGCGTGGCAGCAGGAACACCCGCGTCCAGCTCGTCCTAGACGCCGTGTGTACGGAGTGTGCCGCCGCGTTCTGGGCGGCTGCTTGGGAACAGCTTGGTAATGAAGCCGGGTAGAATGGATTTTTCTGGAGAGTCGATCGAGTAGTCGCTTTGTGATCGGTGGCGAGCTCTGGATCGACTATACACGTTTGCATTCTGGGGACGCGCGGCTGATGCGCTGAATGTCCGTGTTGCGTCTCTCTTCTGTCTGGCTGGACCATCTGTTGACATGGCGATGAAGGGGCGACTGGCGGTGGCTATCGAGACGATAATAGACGCGATACAATCTCAGCAATCTAAACAGCATACTGGGTATATGATATGACATGAAAGTGGTAATGATAAGATGGCGACAAGATGTTACAAAGGACTTGATGTGGGAATCGAGATGACTGGCAGAATATCTTGTGCCCAAAAAGGTGTGGGGACTTGGCACCTCATGACATCTCAAACAAGCATGTCGATCGCTCCTTCTTATATTTCTCTAAGAAGGAGGTTGAAAAGCCAAATCAAAAGGATCAAAAGAAGCAGGAACAAATGTGCATTATTATAAATGGAAGGAAGGCACGACAAAGCATCACTCAAAAAGGGGCAGGATCTAAACAAGACAAACAAAGTGGAAACAAGAAACGAGGGTACCTTCCCCAAACGCCCGCCATGCAATGCAGCGACTGTTCAGCCAACCAGTCGTAGATGAATTAAAAAAATATGTAAGATATCAGACGAAACAAAAGGACAATGACGACCCCGTATATCGTCTACCACCGAGACGGAAACCGTTCATTCTTGGCGAACTGACTGCTGGGCCGTGTCTTGGCAAAGGGGTTGAAAGGCACCGGTGGCGACGATAGCTCCTGCGGCTGGAACGACAGCCGCGCCTCGGTCTGTGGTTGCTGCGGCTGAAAGTTTTCTTTTCTGGGCGACTTGGTGGGACTGCGCATGCGCTGCATCCGCTCGGCGGCGTCACGCTGCTCGACGGCGGCCAGCTCGCGTGAATTGCGCGGCGACTGGAACTCGCCCGCGGCGGCACTGCTGCTGCCAATGTCGTTCATACTGATGGCCTTTTTCAGTGGCGAGTTGACGTGGCTGTAGACGCCCATGCTGCCGCCAAAGTTGGTGGTGGCGCTCGAGGGGAGGCCGGCGGCGCGGCGGGCGCTGTTGGCCGGTGCGAAGGGCGAGTGGGCCACATAGGCGGTCCCCGTTCTGGATCGTGTGCCCTCGCCAATGACGCCACTGGCTGCGTCGGCACCCGCGTGGATCGAACCGGTGCTCGAACCCTCGCCTGTCGACCCATAGCTGGGCGTCGCGGTTACCGGCATGCTCTGGCGCGACTTGGCTGCGATGCTCGTGCTGCCGCCCGGCGTGAACGAATCCGAGTATCTAGCCGGTCTCTGCTGTGCGGGCGTGAGGTGGCGCGGCGTGGCGGCGATGGGACCAGAATGGCGGCCGGTCGACGATGCATCCCGGCGGCCAAAGTCGGGGTCAATGTGCTTGATGTAGTTGGCGTTGGGGTGCGTCTGGAAACCGCGGTGGATCACAGTCGTCGGTGTGCCACACTCGACCACCTCGTTGACCGCGCCGTCGGCCGACGAACCATCCGCTGCCACGCCGGTCGTATCCATGGCCACTTGCGTGCCCATGTCGCGCACAATGGGGTGCAGGCGCGGCTGCACAAACTTGGTGTTGTACTCGTTGAGCACTTCCTTCTGGATAATGGCGTTGTCACGCTGGCGCTGGTCATTTCGGGCCTGCAGCAGGCGCATCGCCGCCGAGAGGCCGACCTGGAGCACAATGCACTTGAGGACGGCGACGCTCGGCCGGGGTTCGAGCGGGTCAAGGGGGAGCTCAAACAGGTAGATGAGGACGTGGAGGGGGCTGAAGAACGACAACAGAGCGAGGGAGGCCGGGCGGGGGTCCCACACCGCCAGCTCCCAAACATCGCGGGTACTGTCCGGATGGGCGCGCGACTCGGCGCTTTCGCTGTGGACGAGGTCGCCGAGGACGCGCAGGGGCGAGTTGGTGGCAGGGGACGACTGGACGCGGACGCGGCTGGCCGAGGGGGTGCCCGGACGGCGGTCGATGTTGGCCTCAAACAGGCGGTAGTGGCGCTTGCGCGTGTAGACAAACACGGCGTTGGCGACGGACAGGGAGAAGCCCGCCCAGACGAGGAGTTGGATCTGAGAGAAGAGGGTGTTAGTTCTGTGTCTTTAATCTGAGCAAACGTGGTGATCCCAACCTACCAGATACGAGAGCCAGCTGCGGCCCGAACCGTCGCCAAACACATCGTCGTCGGCGCTGTTGGACGATCCCAGGTTGGCGCGGGCGAGAAGGAAGAGGAAGTTGGCGACGACGCCGACCTGGCTGCCGACGACGACGGCGTCGAGCTCGCGTGTCTCAATTTCCTCGGACAGCCAGAGCAAGAAGTCCCAGGGGTTCATAGCTGCCGTGATGCGCTGTGACAGCGTCTGCCGCCGCACGAGGCGCGGCATCGTGTATGCGATTGGGAAGAGAGACCGGGAACGGGGGAAATACGTTGTGACAGTGTCGTGAAGATGGATGTCGTCGATTTTGCGGTCGTCGCGCCAGGGATGCAGTTGGGAAGCTCAAAACATGGCCGCAAGGTCAGAAAGCGTTCGTTTTCGAGTTGGGGTCCACTGACCTCGGGCACCGCGAGCCGTGTATATGCGGAATGTCGTTCTGGTAGTAGAAGTCCTCGATGGACAGCAGTCAGAACACGAGCAGCTCGTAAAATCGTTGCTTTGGTGGATCGTGTCTTGGTTGCTATTTGTTTACAAGCCGTTTTGGGGGTAATTACAAGGCGCTAGTAAAAGGTTACCTAATCATTTTGACTGGCTGCGGGGCTTCAACGTGCTATGGCGCCCTGTCGTCAGGAGCTAGGCAGCGCCATTGGCAGCTGGAGCCAGGACAATCATAGGCAACTTTATCGCTGCCAGCAAAACGTGAGCAATTAATCCACAGTTGGCTCCGACATTAACCCATTGCCGACACTCCCTGCGATCCCAACCACGCAGCAACTTGGGCGACCAGTACCTCTTTGGACTCACGGCACCAACGCATTTCCCTCTTTATCCCGGCCGACGTTTACCACGATAGATCGCGACGAGGGGCCGATCGGATCCCCATCTCCCATCCACGATGACGACGGCGGCGGACTTCAAGGACCGGCAGTTCCTTGCTGTGATTGGAGACGAGGTGCGGCTGACTGAAGAGAAGCGGGAGAAGGGTCTGGATGGGACCATGGGAGACGAGGCTGACTCGTGATCTGTACAGGACTCCGTGACTGGCCTGCTGCTGGCTGGCATTGGCGTAAGTTGCCTTTTTCGTTCGGCTACTCCTCTCGGCACCACTGACAAGACGTCTGCAGCATGTGACTCCGGGCCCCGATGCACAAAAGAACTTCCTCGTCGTCGACAGCAAGACGGACAATACGGCCATTGAGGCGGCGTTTGACCGGTTCACCGCCGACCGCAAGGACATTGGCATTGTCCTCATCAACCAGCACGTACGTCAAAGATACAAGGATTGTGGAGGACGAGCTGGTAGCCTGAAGGAGACTTTGAATGTGGCAGGACCTTGCTGACCATACAAGATTGCCGACCGGATACGGTACCGTGTCGACACATACACCGCGGCCTTCCCGACCGTGCTCGAGATTCCGAGCAAAGACCATCCGTATGACCCGGAGAAGGACAGTGTTCTGCGGCGTGTGAGACGGCTGTTTGGCGAGTAGATGGCGAAACCGAAGGAGACGGCATGGGGACGACGGAGACAGAGGGAGCAGCAACGGCTCAGACGAGGACTTGGATACTACGATACATTATGTTGTCCTTGAGATGGAGACGCCTATTGTGCCTCAGGCCATACGGGATTCTGGTTTTGAGGTTGCAGCATGGCATGATAGAAGACTGGCATTTCAACATAATACATTACACTTGTCACTTGCAGTCACCCAAAGAGAAAGGACGTTTGAGATGGTATAATACAATCTGTACAGCAGACAGAAGGGTGTATTTCATTAAGAAGTAGACTGCGGGCGAGACGATCTATTGACGGAAGCATGGCCCATGTTTGGTGGCTGAGAAAATATGCATGGCGACAGAGTGTGGCGCCATGAAGATGCAATCGAAAAGTAAGAATATAAACAACACAAGCGCAGCAATGCATGCATTTGGAAAAGAGAACGATGACAACAGTCCAACAGACAAGAGACAGCTAAAAAAAGTAGACAAGTAGAAAGCAGAGAACGGATGGTGGAACACAAGTAGCCGCGTGTTGGATGCCAGAGAGCCATGGCGTGGCTAGAACAACAACGAAAGAACAAGGGGCCAAAGACTAGCGACGAGCACAGACTCCATGAGGAGTTGCGGGATCGAGACGTCGTTGTGGCGAGCAATCAAAGACTTGATCCACAGAAACTGGCAAATATTCAAGGCCGAGAAGATCGGCAGCAACGACAACGCAGAGAAGCGCGCAAAAAAGCCTTCCGGATATAGAAACCGGGCTAGCATCATTATGTGAGGTTGTTCGAGCAGGCCGGTCAGTCTTTCGTGTACTGCGGCATTTCTTCGGAGGGCGTCAATCATCTTGTCTGCCTCCTCTCGCCATTGGCAATGCTCCTTGGTGACGAGAGCGCGGTGGCCGTCCTACAGCTCCACGCTCACGGAGCCGTCGCGGGCAAACGTGACCGTGGCCGTCAGGCACGTGATGGGCTCGTCGTCGACGGTGTAGGCGTCGGCCAGCACGGTGTACTTGCCGGGCGGGATCTCGCGCGGCAGGTCCACGGACTTGGTGATGGAAATCAGGCCCTTCTCGATGGGGCACTTGAGGTCGACGTTCTCAATCTGCTCACACAGGTCGGCCGTGGTGCTGATGAGACGGATCAGGCCGTACTTGACCTGGAGGTTGACGTAGGCGCCCTTGGAAATGGTCTGGGACACAGTCGCCACGGCGGTGATGACGAGCTCGACGCCGCTGGTCGGTCAGTGCATGCACGGATGAGAAGAGAAGAAATTAAAAAGACAACAAAAACAGGATGCAGCAGATTCTGTACAGGGCAGAAACTCACGCCTGAGGAGGGTTGGGGGAGAGATCGACGCTCTTGATGGTCAAGATGTCGTTGGAGTGGTCGGACGGGCAGAACTCGAGCGGCGACTTGCCGGGAACCTCGAGGTCCTCACGAGGCGTGACGTCGCCGCCAAAGAAGTTGAGGCTGGCGGCCGAAGCCGTCGACAGCAGAGCCAGGAGAACGGTGCCGGCCCGCATGGTTGTGAAATGTCGTTTGTTGTGGTGAGGAAGAATGGGAAGACGACAGAGAGAACGGCGAGTGGTGGGTCCAGCGAGCGAGCGGCACTGATAATACAATCAGCAATCGTGACTGCTTCGAAAATGAAACAGTGGTCAACTTGTCAAGAGGACAGGGGAAGGGCGGAGAAAGGAGAAAAGCTGTTTTGTTGGTTGTCGTCCCTTTTCTTCGGTCGTGCAGTGGCAGAGGGAAAAGTGACGAAGTTGAGTCGAAGGCGAATTTGTTGAGGAGGTGTGAATGGCGAGAACCGGCAGGAGCCAAACCCACTCCTCACTGTAAACGATTGCGAAGGAGGGGGGCGTTAAAAAGGAAGGCGCAAGGCAGAGGAAACGGGCGAGGTTGGCGTCATGGGAGAGGGCAGGGCGGCCTGTGATTGGTGGCACGTCACAGCGGGCCAACCAGCGGTCGCCTAGGACCGATAAAAGCGGGTCGTATACGAGTCAGAGACCGCTCGCAGGATATTGGAGAATGCGCGCCAGAGATATTGGGGTGTTTTGTCACAGATCCGGGTCTGCTGACTGGTAAGAAGTCCCAGGGTCGCGATTTCAGGCGTCGGGCTGGCCGCAGACAAGCGAACAGTATGACGACATTGCATCGTGCAGACAGAAGCATCGCATGGCATCTGTGGCTTCTTGTTGACAACGTACGTCGCACGTTACGGACTCTACGACTAGATCTGTATTACGGGGCCGTTGGCGGTGATCCTGGAGCCGAAGTGGAGGCGTGCGCGGGCGTCGTTTCTCAGAGTGGGCTCCTTATCTCGAGCATCACATGGACACCGCCCCAACTTCGAAATCAAAGGATGGATGCCCTCCGTTCGTTGTTGATACCTGTCAAACCCTTCAGCGCGAGAAGCGCACTTCGTTTCATTCGCATTGGGGGATATCGGTAGGCAAAGAAAAGCCAAGCGGCGTCAAGCCACTTCTGTTTCAGCCCTGCTTTCAGGAGCTGGCCGACGGCAGGGAGCACGCGGCAAAAAGGAGACATCAGTGACTGGAAGGAAAGAGGGACTGTGGCAGAGTGTCGGGCGGTGAAAGCCAATATTATTTGTTGTAAGATTATGAGCGAGACAAAAATGACTAGGAAGGGCTGCAGGTTTCGATTCCGAGCCTCGGGAGATTTCATCGTCAAGATGCATATTAGGACTCTGTGCTATGGCCACACGTGGCGTTCGCAGCCTCCGCCACTGCCATTTTGCTTGCTAAAGTTTGCCTTCAATGGAAGTTGCTGTTTGCCACAGAAAAAGCCCCGGCGCACGACTGCCCTGGAGGGACAGAGCGACCAAACAGGAGCAAAAGGGCCTTAATAGTTCAATTCAAGCTGAGAAACTGCTTCGGTGATGACGAAGGCAGAGTGTGGAAGTACGGCGTACTGTGCGGGCGAGCTGGCCGGTTTCGAATGTTCTCTGCTGATCCATACCAGTGCCAGCCAGATTTGGTGTGCTCTGTGACTGCAAACAGCCCGACGCGATGACTGTGAACACTCTCGCATGATTAGCACAGCAGCAAGCTAGCGTTCATTTAGTGGAGGACAGGCTCCGATAGTGGACGTCAGCGCCTTCTGGAGCCGAATACAGTGGCTCGCCCTCGAAATACAACTGAAAAGCGACAATGCTCCTCGTTTGCCTTCAATCGCCGTCAGAGCTCCCTCTCGGCGCAGACGCGACATTCACCGTCTTCACCTTGCCGAAGCCTCGAGAATGGACTGCCCTCCATCGCATCCCCGTCCGTCATACTCTGTCGTCCCCCAAGAGGCGGCTGGTAATCAAACTCGATTGGGCGGTGGGCGCAGCAAACAGGCTCTGTGGTTGGGCGACGCGGTATCTCGATATTGGTCCGGCAGGAACGCTAAAAAGAGACGAATTCGCGACAAAGGACGTCCTCGAGCCTGCACGAGGGCGGAGTACCGATACATTGCTCGTCCACTTTGGGGTGTGGTGGTGAAAAGGGACCCACTCTCCACTGCTGCCTTGGTGCCTTTGCCTGAGTTGCGCCCAGTTCCAGTTTTCGGTTTCGCCTGGTCACTGTCGAGACTGTACGTCTCCTCTTTTTATGCAAAATGAACTCACCCAACTGCGTATGACAGACCACTAGGGTCACTGTAGCCTGCTGTCTCTCCAGATTCTTCCTGCCTTGTCCTGTATTCAGGCAGCGGCACTATGACTACCGGAATTGCTTCCAGTTTCCCTCAAAGAGCGTCATTATTCTTCCGGCGCCCATGACCCTTTTCTGCCTCTATGCCTTCGGCTCTATTCTCTTTCTCTTCTATTTTTTCCATCCTCAAGGACTCGAGTCTCCTTCACTGGACATACCAATCCAAGCATCGAACAGCACCCTTTTTGCCTGTCAACAAAAGATCTGCTTCATCACCATTTCCCATCAGCAGAGGGATTGTCTGCCCTCTTCGAGATGGCAGCCGTTTTACGAGAACAGAAAACGCACAGGTTGCTGTTTCCAAATATCTGACGCTGTCATGTTGCTGTGGTAAGGCAACGCAATATCATTTTGGCTGGCCGTCAAAAGTTTGGCACCGAGGTTTGCAGCCTCTCATTTTCAGTCCCTTTTTTCACACACTTTCCACTTATTTTACGACCCTGACTTTGTCCGTTCAAGTGAAGTGAGTGACTCGGGCTGCTTACGCATACGCACAAACGCACCCATAACCGTTTCTTGGCCTAGGTCTCGGCCACCAAAAAACGAAACCTAACCCCGAGAGCGGCGTTTCATGCCTCAGGCATCAGTAGCCATTTGCTACCATTGCTGCCTTGTACTGGTACAAGGTATCGTCTGTCGTCCCCCTCTCTCCTTCCCTGTCCGCCCACCTTCCTCGTGTCCTCGACTCCAGTGAGAACTGCGCTGTGGTTTCTGCACTAAGACGCTACGACCGAGACCAGGGTGAAGGAGCACCGCGCCAGAGCCACGCTAGTCGGGGGAATTTTGCTCTTGCACGGTTTTGTCCTTTTTCCTGCCATTTTCCCTCCTTCCTTCTTTCCCTCTTGCCCTCTTTCCCTGGCTCTTGCCTTTTTTTCTTAAGGCGCCTTGCCGTCCGCCCATTGGCTAGCGACCCTTTGTCTTCTGTACTCTCCTCGTCCTTCTCCTCTCCCGATTCAGCGTGTGTCCCCTGCGCTTGCCGTCTGTTCGTTCTGCTGGGCGCCGCTCTTTCCTCTCTTTTTCACTTTCCTTCCCCGTTCTTCTTGTTTTGGCCCCCCTCTCATTCTTTCCTCTCCTACCATCCCAACTCGCAGATTCGCACTTTTCTCCCTCTCTCTTCCCTCCGACAATCTGCTTCCTTTCTCCTCCACCATCGTCTGCAATCTGTCTCCCCTTTGTCCCTTTCTTCTCTTGTCAACACTGCCGGCTTTTCGACCCTCCAAGGCGTTCTCGAACCGCAAAGCCTTCTCGTCCTCGACTTTCTCGACCCAGATTCACTTGCGCGATCCGAGGAAAAGACGCTCTGAACACACAAAGTCGCCTCCTTTCTCGTCATCTCTGTCCTCGACATCCTCTCCACGACACAGAGCCTCGATTCCTGCCCCGGCGCCCTTCCTGCATCTGCAACATTTCCTCTTGCCCCTTGGCGCGCCGCTGCTGATTCTCTCGAGTCGAGTCGGCACTTCACGACTACTTTCGTCCCCCTTTTGACACCGTCGTCTCTGTCGCCAAACAGTCGCTCTCAGTCGTACTGCGTCGTCCTGTGAACTCCTCGATACAGTCACTTCTGCCTTGCCATCTGTCCCACATCACAAAGGACCAACGCTCGCGAGAGCCGGCTTCCTCAGACCGCCCGTCGCTTCGCTCCCCTACCGCGTGGTTTTTTGGACTGGTCGCCTCTGTGAAACCATTGATTCAAACGACCACTTGTTCCTCTTGGTTTCTTTTGGTTTCGCGACGCTGTCGTTTATTTGGACACCTTTCATCGACCGCGCCATCATTTCCGACCCTCGCCACAGGCGACACGACACGGCGACTGCTCCTCCTCCTTGAGTTTTTGCCCTGCCCTCGTCTTCGCGACACGTACTACCGCGCTTGACCCAGTCATGTTATCACAACTAAAGACATAACTTTTCAATCCCCTTTGCAACCCTCCTTTACGGCAACCCTCCCCTTCAGCGAGGTCTCTCCTGGATTATGACAGAAAAGCACCCACCGCCGTCCACACAGACCGCGCTCTCAACCCCGAGCCTTCCTCCTCTCAACCCCCTCTCGCCTACGCCTCTCCCGAAAGAATACGCTCCGCTTCCGACATTTCCCTCTGCAGCTGCCTCTTCACACCCCAAAACTCCCGTGGCTGCCAACGCCTTAACATCACCAACACACAATGCTGCGCCTGTCACCAAGGCGGAGTCGGCTGCAGAGGAGGAGCCTTACACAATAAAGTGCATTTGTGGCTTCACAGGCGACGACGGAAACACAATCTACTGCGAGATTTGCGACTCGTGGCAACACATTGAGTGTTTCTACCCAAACAACAGCGAAGAAGCGACGCGTGAAGAGTTTGCGCACGCGTGCCATGAGTGCAAACCGCGGCAATTGAATATCGCGCACGCCATCGAATACCAAAAACAGCGGCTACAGGCGGTCAACGCCGAGGCCGGGGCTGGGGCCGGGTCCCATCAAAAATCAAAACGCCCACCATCCAAAGGGCACAGCCACAGCCACAAAAAGAAGCCGAAACCAAGCGATCTCCAAATCAACGGCCATTCGACGTCCGCCAGCGACGTCGCCAGGCATCCTGGTTCTGACGGCACGGGCCAACACGCAAACCAATCGTCCAAGAAGAAGAGCTCCCACAAGTCGAGCCAGTCCGTGGGCGGATCCCATTCTAAGAGAAGTCCGTCCTACTCGGCTGCGAGGGCATCAATACAGGCTAGTCATCCGTTAAGTCCGGCCACAACACCACCCGATCTTCCCGAAGGCACAGAATTCTACGGCTACTCCAGCGACCTGCACAACCTGTGCAATGACCAGGATTCCGCCCAGACTGTCCAGACCAACTCATTCGCCAGTCTTGCCGTGTCAAACGCGACTTCAGTTTGGCTCCGTGAGCCCGAGCGCATGTTGAGAGAGACAGGGCAGAAGTTTTTCGACATTTTCAAACCGCCCCCCTATATCGACGCACTTCGGCGGCCCCCCCGCGTTGACGTTAAGAAGCGCGCGCTGGACAAGGACACGGTTCTGCACTTGAGGTACTTGGTCACGTCCGTGGCTGTCGATAAGGGCGTCCCTCTCATGGAGCTGAATGGCCAAGTCGGTTTCCAAAACGATTACTGTTCCATTCCTTCCAACCGCTACGAGGAGCTGTCGTGCCCGCTTCCTTTTGTCTTTTTCCATCCTTTATTGCCCCTCTACATTGACACGCGGAGAGAAGGGTCTCTCGCCCGCTACGTTCGTCGCAGCTGCCGGCCCAACGCGATCTTGGACACGTTCCTGTCGGGCGGATCTGAATACCATTTCTGGCTCGTCAGCGATCGACCGATTGGCGTGGACGAGCAGATTACGATTCCGTGGGATTTTCGGCTGCCACAGGACCACAAGGGACGCTTGTTTCGCCTTCTTGGCCTCGGCGACGACGACCAAAGCAGCCACGACGACAGTGAGGTGGAGGAAGCCGAGTACAACAACATTGCACGTTGGGTGTCTCTGATCCTCTCTCGGTACGGTGGTTGTGCTTGCGAGTTAGGCCCTGAATGTGCATTTGCCCGTTTCCACCGCCTGTACGGCGGCAAAGCGCAACACGCACGGAACAGCCACGGGAAAAAGAAGACATCGCGAAAGACCAAGTCTCACGCCCTGTCTCCCACAAGCACTGGCCACGCGACAAACAGTCGTGCCGCTAGCGAAGGCCACCCAGAAGATTTCCCCGAAACAGACAAAATGTCAACATCATCGCGCAGCAAGCCGCCCAGCCGCGACATGACCCCCGCCCCGCGGCAGGGATCGTTCGACACTCTGGGCATATTGACGGAGCCCACCGACCGCGACAAGCGAAAAGTCGCCATGGTGGAAGACTCGTTCCGCCGCCTTGAGCAACAGCAGCCCAAGAAAAAGAAGCGCACATCCGACGGCACAGAACGGTCGAGTGTGTCGGCGACTGGCCATTCTGGAAAATCCCGGGCGAAGAGCTCGCCAGCGCAGCCTGGTGATCACCACGAACTTCCCAACGGTACTGCGAATCACCGGTACATCGACGCCGAGACGTCACGCAGCAAGTCGGGATCGCCTGCCAGTGCTACCTCTCCTAACTTGATGAGCGTCAGCAACGGCCTAGGATTTATGTCGCTGTCGGCGGCCGTCGGCGGCTCCACATATAGTGTTTCGCGACACACCTCAACTGGCCCCTCTGCAGGCTACCGTGATGCAGAAACCCAGACAGACCCAACGGAGGGTGAATGGTACAGCGAGAAGCCTCCCACGCCGCGCCCCAAACGTCGTGTGATCTCGCTTTCGCGCCGGTTGCTCAACTACAGAAGCCGTGCGCGGTATGACGAACTTGCTGTGCCAGCCGTCTCGCCCAAGATGGACGTTGATTCACCAACCGCTCCCGAGGATAAGGTGTCGGTGATGGCACAGGCACTGCCATCAAGCGGCGGCAACGGCGACGTCGCAATGCCTGATGCCCCGAGCTCTGTGACTCAGGCCGATGCTTCGACGTATGCTATCACCGCCAAGATTGAGCCTGTTGACGGTGGAGGCAGTGGCATTGACGTCCCGATTAAGAGATCGCCGGACCTTCGTGTTCAGCTGCCCAAGGTGCCGTCGTTCAGCGATGCCTCTCTGTCACAAATGAACAGCGCGACGACGCCTCTGACGGCGTCATCCATAGTCCAGTCACCGTTTGCTGTGACCAGCGGAAACCCGTTTGGCTCGCCTGTTGTGACGCCGAGTCCCATTAAGAAGAAGATGAGCCTCAGCGACTACACCAAGAGCCGCAAGGCTGCAGGAGC